GGGGGCGAGTCTTGTCGCCTCCGCGCTACCCGCTCGCTGGGGAGAACACTCAGCCGGGAAGAACGGGCTTCCGGCTGCCCTGCGGCCTGGACCGCGGGAGCCCTGGCTGCTCACAGGGACCCGCTCCCAGCGAAGCCGTGCGGCCCTCGGCCTCAGCGGCTCAGGCGGTGGCCTGCTGCGCTCCCGCCGGCGTTTCGGAAGCCAGAGCAGGCGCACGCTGGTCTTCGCGTCCCATCCGCTGCCAGCTCCACACAGTCTGCTTCGTTGGGGTTTCTCCCAGGCCAGCTGCCCCGCGTGCCGCGCAGACAGGGTCCCCAGCGGGCGGGAGGGCCGGGGGCTGTGACGGGGGCGGGGGCCGGGGGCCGCGTTTCGCCCCCAGCCGCACTGTACACACCCGCCTTGGGGGCTGACGTTCGCAGGGGGCTCTGCATGTCTGGAGCGGGTGGGCAGGCAGAGATGCCCGGCTTTCCTGAGGCTCCGGCGCCTGGAAGGGTTACCCTCTCAGGAGCACAGAGCCAGGACGGCTCAGAAGAAACAAGTGTCGCCAGGGTGTCTCCTGGTGGCCTTGGGGACCAGGCAATCTGTGTGTGAGAATGGCTCATCCACTCCTTGCAGCAGCTGCCGAGCAAGCCCCCTGGGCTGCTGGCCAGGGAGGCAGGCGTTGGGTGACCTGACAGGGACAGAGCAGGGGCTGAGGGAGGGGGCAGGCAGGGAGTGCCAGCGTGAGGCGGCCCCATGTAAACCGAGGCTCCTGGGGTGAATGGCTGGGGGCGAGGGCGGGCAGGGGGTATCTGGCATCTCACTGAACAAGGCCGGAGGGTCACTTCTTGGTGAGCTGCACACACAGCATCGCCCGAGCGAGCGGCTGCCCCTGAACAGTGCGATTCTCCCCACCCCGGGCAGCGGGCCGGTCAGGGTGGGGCCTTTCTCCGCGGCCCACAGACGCGTCCTGCTGGGCTCGCAGCGCTGTGGGCGGTTCCTCCCCAAACGCTGTCCCTGTGGCCCCGCTCGCCTCGTTTTCCTGTTTCTGGCTGGTTTCACCAGGCCTGCTGGCCTCCTCCTCTCACCCCTCCCGGCACGGCCCCCGCCCCCCTGCCCTTCCTCCTTCAGTGTCACCCTCTGCCCCAACCGCGGGCACCCCCACGACACCCCGAGCTGAGCTCTGCATGACCCAGACCCGTGCGCCCGGCTGCCTGTGTCTCTCCGGCGTCGCTGACACGCAGGCCGATTCCACTTGCGTTGGCCCCGGGCCCCGCTCCCTTAGCCTCGGCCCTGCAGGGACAGCGGCCTCCGGAGGCGCCGCCCCCATCCCTGCGGCACCTCCCGTCGACCGAGCACGCAGACCCCCCCCCCCCCCCGTCCTCCCAGCTGCCCCTCCTCGGCCCCGCCCCCTCCCCCTGAGCCGGGTCCGGGCCGCTGTCATCCCGATGGCACCACCGTGGCAGCCTGTGCCCCGCCCGCCCCTCCCACCCTTGACCTGTGCCCGCTAATTGGGTAGGTCACCTCCGCTCAGGGCCATTCCGCTTCATCAGAGAAAGAGCTCCCGCGCCCCATCCAAAAAGATGAAATGAAGTTCTTGTGACGCAGGCTGCCCATCGCTCAGCCCAGGAAAACCACGTTGCCTTCCGCGCTGCCCTTCGCTCTGGCACCAGACACACGGGCTCCTCCCCACGGCGCGTTCACCTCCACCGGCAGGCGTCCACGCCAGCTGTCTGGGGTTAGTGCCCGACTTCGGTGCCACAGACACTGGTCCGCCCCAGGCTGTCACCCGCGCTTCTGACTGACCGGCTGGGGGGCCCACGCCCCTGCTTCCCTCACATCGGCCGGTTGGTTCTGTAGGACATGACATGGCATGGCAAGGATGGGGACTCACACCGGCGGGTCCAGGGGGGCCTGGAGCGCGCGGCTCTGCCCCGCCCACCCACGCGCAGGCTCCCAGCCCCCACCCCGGGGGGCTCCCCTTCTAGCCCCTCTTCCCTCTCTGGAGAAGGAGCAGTAGAAAGGAAATCTCTAAGCCTCTAATCAGGTTTTGGTCTAAAAAAAAAAGATTTTATTTATTTTTAGAGAGGGGAAGGGAGGGAGACAAAAGGGGAGAAACACCGATCGGCGGCTTCTCACCTGGCCCGCAGCCCAGGCCTGTGCCTGAGTGGGAATCGAACTGGCAACGCGCCAGCGAGCGGGGTGACGCCCAACCCCCCGAGCCACACCAGCCAGGGCTCAGGCTGGCCTCCTGGCGGCCACCCCGAAGCCCCCCGGGACTCCGCGGAGTCGCCTCGGGGCCAGGGGCCCTCCTGGCTCTCGGGACATCCCAAGGAGCCTGTGGCAGGAGCTGCGGCCAAAGTCCAAACATCAGAGCAGAAGGCGCCCCTGGCATCTTTATCACATAGAAAAACCGGAAGGTTTCAGGAGCCTGAGGAAGACGCTGGGGACAGACAGCAACTTGTTTCCCTATTATCTCACAAGATCACACCCAACACCCACTCCTTTCTTCTGTAGTGATAGTCTTGCCAGCGTTTACGTGGACTTGCGGTCCCTGGAATTATTGATACATTTCCCAGACTCCCTTGCAGTTGGTATAGGTGGCCAACTAGGCTGAGGGTGATGCTACACGAGCGCGACCGGTGTCTGAGAGCTTCTGGAAACCTCCTGGTAAGCCAGGGAGCGGCCAGAGGTGAAGGCTGAGCTCCGGCCGCTGCTCTGGGAGGGAGAACGGGGGCCATGGCCGGTCAGAGAGCAGCATTCCCAGGCGCTAGGGACCCCCCTCGAATTTCACACGAGCTGGGAATGCCAGCCTCCACACTTCCTTTATGTGGCAAAAACTCTGCTCCTGTCTTATTTTAACCACTGTTATTTTGGGTTCTGTTTATGCAGCTGAACCTAATCACAGGGAACAACAAACAGCACAGCCACATCTGTGATTGCGACCAGCCAGCCTCTCCTACCGCGCGACAGCCCACAGCCTGTGTCAGCTCCCAGCGCCACGGTCCCCGGGCTGCTGCCTCGCGGGGGGTGCCCCTTACTCTGCCCCTGAGGGTTCCACGCTCAGGAGGCAGCGCTCACGTGTGCCGGGGGGCCCACGGCACCCGGCTCTGGCTCCGACTCCGTGTCCTCTGACTTTGCCCTCCTCACTCACAAGCGTCCCTCCCCCAGACAGCTCTAAGTCCCACCTTTCTGATCCTGTCAGTTGTAGAAAAATTAACTGAGCAACCTGGTCCAACACCTGGCCGCCCCCGTTTGAGTCGGTGAGCCAGGGGACCGGCTCACCAGGTGAGGGCTCCGGGACCAGGCCCCCATCACAGCGCCGGAGGGCTGTGCGTGGCCCCGAGATGGGACAGGGGACAGAGCCGGGCACGCAGACGTCCTCGGAGAAGCCTGGCAGACAGACACGTGCAGATGCCACCTGCTCAGGGACCAGGTTTCTGGAGGCTCCTCCTGCCTGGCACCTTGTTGGGCTGTGCTTCCAGGGGACCCTCTCGGGTGAGTGTGCATCACCATCCCAGCTTTGGAGATGAAAGGTCAGGAAACAGGTGCCCAGCAGGTCTGCCCAATCCTGCAGGCTCTTGGCCGCGGCTGTGTGTGTGAGCCACTGAGGGTCCACGCCAGGTGCTGCTGTAAGGTCGCAGGTACCTGTGACTCCTGTGCCCTCTGAGGGAGCGTGTCACCTACACATACATCCCGCAAACATGGCCTGTATATTTTACTTTTTATTGATTTTAGAGAGGAAGGGGGAGACACAAAACCCCACATATTGTTCCGCGTATTCATGTATTCACTCGTTGCTTCCTGCATGTGCCCTGATCAACCAGAAGTGAAATAGCCATGCTGTAACCATTGTTTTTAAGAGAGAAAAGAAACAAAAATATTATCTAAAACCAAATTGTAATACAACACCTTTCTTGTACCTAATGACTGTCACCACTTGAATGTCTCCTAGGGGCCTCGGGGTAGTCATGTCCAAAAGGCCCACGGACGGGACTTCATTTTGTCTCCGGCGAGAGCTCATTTCTCCGAGGTCTGCGCCACTGGAGTCCCAGCCCATGCCACGTGTCCGGCCTGGGACTCTTCCCGGAGTGTGCGGGTCAGGGGATGCTGCGTGGGGTCCGGGGAAGCGTCTGGGCTAAGGAACCGGCGAGTGGGCTGAGACGCTGAGGGCCAAACGCGGGTGGTCCAAGCCAGGCGGTTGCTGACGAGCTTAGCAAGAGGAGGATGTGGAGACGGGACCCCAGGCCCTGGGCGGCAGTCTGGAGAACGGCAGGGAGGGCGGCTGCTCCCCAGAGAGAGCTGGGGCACATGCAGGCGTAAAGTGGCACGGGGGTGGGCGGTGTCAGCCTCCGTATGCAGAGCCCACCTGCACCATCATGGGGAGAGACGGATCCCCGGGAGCCGTGGGAGCAGCCGGCGGGGCGGGGGGGGGGCGCGCGGCGTGGCTGCCAGGTTAGAGGGAGGGGCGCAAAAGGTGTCTCCTGAGCCCTCGAGCTGGAGACTCCGGAGGGAGCGGATCACAACGGTGGTCGGAGGAGCTGAGGGGACGGCCCTTTGCGGGCGGAACACCCCGGCGGCGCGCGGGCTTCGGCAGTGGCCCGCGCAAGAGCCTGTGCCGCCGGCACTCGCACGTGCCCGAGCCAGGCGCGCGAAGACGGCGCTGCGCAGGCGCAGTGCGGCAGCCCCCGCGCACGCGCAACCCGGAGGCCGCGGGCCGGGCGCCCAGGGAGCGGGGTCCCCCAGCACGTCTCGCTTCTCTGCTCCTCGGGGCACCCTGCACCAGGGGTTTATCCGCGCTTAAGCGGCGTGGAGCCTCCACGCTGGAGGGCACGCCGCGGCAGCCCGCCCTCCGTGAGGCGCACTGCTGAGTGACGCAATCCCTCGCGCAGGCTGTGACGCCAGCAGAAGGCGACGGGACGCTAGGCACGCTCCCCGCCCGCCTGCTCCTCTCCGCCCCGCCCCTTACGTCACGTCGGCGGCGGCGAGGCGGATCCCCATCCCCTCCCTCCCAGACCCCTCCCTCCTCGCCCGCGCGCACGTGGCGTCCTCGGTCCCGCGGCGCGTGCCGTGATCTGGGGTCGGTGAGCGTTTCCGTCCTTGCGCGCGCCGGTGCGTGGCGGTCGCTGCCCAGGGACTGCCTCGGGCCCCCTGCCTTCCCTTCTGCTGTTGACGTGGGGCTTCCTCCCGGGCGGGAAGCGGCGTGTGGCTGTTCCCGCCGCACCCCTCCCCTCAGAGCAGTGAGGCTCCCGCGGCCCGCCTGCAGTGGCCGCTGAAGGGCCGTGAGTCCCCGGCAGTCCCGCCCCCCGGGAGCCCAGAGTCCTGAAGGGAAACACGAGCCTGCGCCCCGAAGTAAGAGCAAAGTGGCTCTGTGGCTTTTCGGGAAAACCCCGCAGGGACATCGCGTCCGTGGCCGCGTTTCCCGCTCCTCCCGCGCTGTCCTCTGCCCGGCTGCGCCCGGCGTCGGACACCTGGCTCGGGGCAGACAGGGCCTTTGGTCTGCAGCCCGGCACGACCTGGTTCACCAGACCAGGGTCCCCGGATCGCCCGCCCGCCCGCCCCCTCCCCGGGCGAGCTGGGGGCCGGGAGTCGGCGTGGGGAAGGCTGCACACACTCCTGCAGAATTAACGTGTCTAAACGTTGAACTGTATGCGTTCGCGTTATGTTTTCCTCCGCCCCGTTTTCAAGCCTGTGGTGGTTCTCTTGCTTTGTTCCGAGTGTTCGGGGTGTGCGGCAGATCAGGCGAACCCTGAAGTGCGCAGGGGGTGGGGGTGGGGGTGCTTCTGAGAGGCTCTGATCTAAAAATACACCCAGGCCACCAGCTCTCACCGCCTCCCCGGGGTAATTAACACGCATCTTGTGGGGGAGGCGTTAAGGCTCTTGCCAATATCCTGTTTTTCTCCGATTGATTTCTGTCCAGTGGCCGGAAACAGTTTTCATGATGTTGTTTGCCCAATGGTGGTTTTCTATTTCCCTCAGTTCTTCAACATTTATTAGGAGTTTTTCTTTAGGAAAAGTTTCTTTTCCCACATTTATCTGTTTATTTGAACATCTCATTATATCGGTTATCGACCGAGGGGCCTTTCGCTTTGTGGGTGACCCTCCGACACCGTCAGTGTTTGTTTTCCCGCAAGTCCTTCCGGCTTTGGCCACGGGAGCCCTGGCCGACTCGGCGTTCCCTCCCTGAGACCCCCAAAGCCAGCCTTCTTCCCGGGGAGCCTCGCTGTCCCGTTTCGCACCTGGGGAAACTGAGTCTGAGGCTGCTGCCCCGTAGCTGGGGTCGCTCAGCCTAAGAAGAGGGGCGTCCTGGGAAAGCGCGTTCCCTCCGGGTTTGCGAGCTCGTCCACACCGGACCGTGCGCGTGGCCTCGCGCCGCCTTTGGAGACGCTGCGCCGTCGGAGGGTCGAGCCACCCAGGGAGGGACCCTTCCCAGCGAGCCCTGGGCGCTAAAAATAACCACGTTTTCTGTTTTACGCAGGAAAGAAGAAATGTGGAGTTTGTTTTATAACATTTACTATTTTTGAAAAACTGGTTTCTTTTTTTTCCACATGTCTCTGGAGGTGTCCTTGGAGGAAAAGACATGATGCAGATTTCACCACGGGTTCCTCCCTTGTGGGATCCAGATCTTGTGTAAACAGCTGGCGAGGCTGCGGCCGGCGGCTCAGTGGGTGAGAGCCTCCCCCCGCGCGCCCAGGTGGCGGCCGGACCCGGACCCTGGTCGGGGCACAGACAGGAATCCACCGCTGATGGGGATGCGCCAGGAAGTGGGCCAACAAGCAGATGCCTCCCTCTGGCTTCCCAGCCCCCTCTTGTCTTCTATCTCTAAAATCAATTAAAAAATAAAATAAGACTGATAAATCTGACTATTTAAAATGAAAAAAAAAAATCTGTTATTCAAAATCGCATTAAGGAAACCAGGACAGAAGTTAAAAGCGAGAAGAGGGGTCTCCCACGAAGAGAAACAGGCCGTGACGGGTGTGGCCTGTGTCAGGGCTGGGACTGGGCCCCGGTGACATGCACGCTCGGGCGGGCCCTCCCGCCTCAAAGGGCCCCGCCCCCGCCCCCAGCAGGCCCCGTGGGGGGCTCAGGGCCCAGAGGACCTGGGATCCGCCGCCTCAGGGGCTCCTTCCTGTGTCCTCGGGTGCCCTTCACAGGACGTGTCCAGCTGGGCCCTGCCAGGGGGTGAGTCAGGGCTGCGGGTCTGAGCTGTGGGCGCCTGTGCTCCCCAGTGGTGGGGGTGGGCGCGGGTGGGGAGGAAGTGGCTCTGAGTCAGCGTCCCGTGGACTCCTGTCCCAGGACACTGACCTCCCCGTGGCCCTGACAGAAGGCAAGACAGAGAAGGGCGTGGGCTGTGGCTTCTGACTCCCCCGTGAGCCAGGACACAGACAGACCCACACACCCGCTCCCCTGGGCAGATCTCGGATCGGGGTTGGAGCCGCCCCGAGGCTGTGGGGCGTTGGTGCGGGGGGCGGGGGGGGGGGGGGGGGCGGTGCGCTGAGTGGCCCCCTGCGCTCGGCCACCCTCCCTGCAGTTCCCCCTCCAGAACAGCCAGTCGGGGAGGGGGCGGCCCACGCAGTGATCTTCGGGGGGGCTCTGAGCGGCAGTGGTGCGGCTGGGGGGTGCCCAGGGGTTTGGGGGTCCGCAGGGATGCAGCGGAGACGTGGGGAGCAGCCTCGGCCTGCCCACCGCCCCAGGCCGGGGCAGCTCTGGTTCTGGGAGACCCTCCCGGGTTCTGATCGCTGCGGGGGGCCAGGGGCGGCCTGCTAATCAGGAGAGCGGTCCTCACAGAAAAACAGCCCCAGTTGAGGGACACCACACCGCAGCCCACTCTGGGTCCTCGGGGTTCGTGTGTGCGTGGGAGGGGAATCACTGGTGCATTTGCATCTTTCACCCCCTGACATTGGGTGCTGGCTGGTCCCCGGAGGCTGTTCCCAAGGCCCAGGGCTGTGTCCAGGCTGGCGGGGAGGACCCTGGGCTGCCTCCTCGGGGCGCTCTGTTCCCTGAGGCTTTGAGGGTCCGGGCACAGGGCGGCAGTGACTCGTAGGGTCCTGCTGGCCTTCCTGAAGGGAGTGGTGGGGAGGCCCCGGGCTCAGGGCTGGGCGCTGCCCCCGCCCGGCCCAAGGATCCGAAGGGCAGGCCCATCCAGGCCCGAGGCCCCACTGCCCACGGCTCTGTGCACGCACAGGCAGCCCCCGGTGGCTCAGGTGGAGGACAAGCAGCTGATGACCAGACACGCCAGGCGGCCCATCTGAGGCTGCTAGAGTCTGGGCGCTGTCCTGGGAGAAGCGGGAATGGGGGCTGAGCAGCAGGAGAAGGTGCAGTGGAGAGTCGGCTGCGATTTTCTCAGTCTTGGAACTCTGCCAGGAGCATGAGACGACGCGGTCCACGGGAAGATGCGGGTTTTCTGGGGGTCACAGGTGCCTGGGGCTGGGGAGCAGGGCGCCTCCAAGGGTCTCAGCTGGACCTGGCTCCGGGCGGCCAGCCCACGGCCCGTGGACCTTTCGGGGCTCAGCGCGCGAAGCCCAGAGTCCCTGGTCTGGCTTAAGGTTGGGCCTGGGGGGCGTCAGGTTTGCAGCGGGTTCTCCTGGGTCTAGGCCTCTCTGCCCTGGGCAGTGCCCAGCCCCAGGCCTGGGTGGCCAGGGACACAGAACGCTCGTGGGGAAACAAGCTGGTGAGCTCTTCTGGAGCAGGTGGGTCGTTGGGGCAGAGCCAGGCGCCCTCCTGGGAGGCAGGCAGGCCGGCCGCGCCAGGACATGCCCGGCGGCCTATCTCCCCGCCCCGGGGTTTCCGCGGGAGCCACGAGCGGGGCCCGGGCCGTGCCCAGCGACCCACGGAGGGCAGACCGAGAGGTGCGTGCCAGCGCGTGCGCGCAGGGGACGGGGGCGGGGGCGTGTTCGGGAGCGTGAGTGGCGGCACGTTTCTGTGTGGACGTGTGACGGCGGCGTGACTGTGTGGGAGTGTGTCCTGCGCGGCGCCGCAGTGTCGGCCCCCGGCTTTGTGGGGCGGGGCGGGGCCTGGCCGCGTGCAGAGCCCAGGGCGGAGGTCACCCCGGCAGACGTGAAGCCTCCTCCGCGCCACTTCTAAACGGGCCGGGGCTGCTATTGCCCCCGCGCAGTTCCTGCGGTCAGCTGCCCAGCCCGCCGTCTAGAGCCTTGTCTCGGGGCAGCACACCCCGCGGCTGGAGAACTGGACCGGGGCCGCGCCCACGCCCACGCCCACCTCTGGCTGCCCCGCGGGCCTCCTGGGCCCCGCGGCACCCTCGCGCCCCTGCTCCCCGAGGCCCGTCCTCAGGGCTGCTGCTCCCCTGCCGGCGCCACGTCCTTATGCAAAATTAAGTCCAAACCAATTTCAGTCACTCCCAACTTGGAGACAAGTTTTAAAATAGTGACAGGATTAACATTCAAGTTCCCAACCCAGCTGTAAGGGACTCTGGTGGTTCCTATTGCGTTTACCACTTGTAATCTTCTAATGCGAGTCCCGCAAGGCAAAGGAAATTGCTGATCTATTTCAACTTGCAAACGCTTCCTCCGATGGGTTCGCTTCCCTTTAGACGAGTCCAAATGAGGCTCCGCACAGATTCCTGCCTGTTCCTGCCCCTTCTGCTAAAATTAAACATGTAAATCAGCTTTGTTGCCTTTATTGATGAAGTCCAAAATCACTCATATAAATCACCCTGGCGGGAACCGATGCCCTGGCCAGGATGGAGAGGGCGGTCTCGTCATCAATAACGCCTCCGACGGAGGAGGAACTCGGGGGAGTGGGCTCCTCCTGTTCCCAAGGGCACCTCCCCTCCTGCCCTGATCGGGGTGCCAGCAGCTGGCGGGGCCCCACATCGGGCTTGTCCCCACTGCGCTTGGCCTGCGCCGGCAGCCGGTGTTTGGCGCCTCAGCAGGGACGCGCGTCTTGCCCAGGTCGCGCGGGCCCCGGTCCTGGCCCGAGGTCGCCTCCGCGCAGCGCGGAGCGGCCGTGCGGGAGCCCCGACGCAGGTCGGCAGAGGTGCGCGCACAGAGCGGGCGCGGGGGCTGCCGCCGGGCCCTGCAGGTTTTGGAGGTTTGTGCTGTGGCTTGTCCTGGCCGACAGGAAGGCCTCTTGGGCAGCTGGCTGGAGGATGGCACCGGAAATGAGGGAGCGGTGTGGGGCACGGGGACGTGGGGTGGGCCAGGCCCAGACCCCGCACGTCCAGCTCCCCATCTGGTTCTCGTGCTCTCAGCACCCACCCGCTGCCGCCCGACCGGCGACCTCCAGCCGCAGCAGGACACCCTCAGGAGAAGGGGCCCCAGGGGACCCGTTGCCTCCAGGGGGCCCGTTGCTTGGGGGGACACTTTGCACGCACCGGCTGCCAGCGGTCCGCCCGGGGGCACCCTGCGCCTTCGCCGCTCTTGGGACGCGAAGGTGGGGCTCACTGTTGCCCCTTCCGGGTGAAGAGGACTCGGCTTCAGGTGGGTAATCACTCAGACCCAGGTGGGGTGAGCCCAGCCCGCCCCCACTGGCCAGCAGAGCTGTGGCTAGAATGAAGCCCCCGCCCCGGGGTGGGTAACGTGAGCTCGTGTCCGAGGGCCGGCGGGGCAGCTGTGCTCCCAGGACGGCCCCAGGCCTGGCCGCCCGCCCACCCGAAGGGCTCCCTGTGCTGCCTCCGAGACTCCGATGGTCGTCTCTTCTTCTCTTGTGGCCGTTTTCTGACGCCTGCTGAGGCTGCTTCTCTCTCCACCTACATTTTAGCCCCCTTGGGGCCGAGACCCAGGGTCCTCACCTCACTGTTGACCCCACTGTCTTCATCGCGTTCAACGACTTGGCTTCAGCCCTGGGCGGGGGGATGTGGCACATTCGGTTCACGCTCACCACGGGCCCTGCGAGCCCTGGAGGCCACCTCAGAGATGGGTCCGGCCTGGGGGAGGCCGCTGGCTCTCAGGGGCGACAGCACCCGCTTCCTGAGGCTGGGGCCGATTCTGTTACATGAATTGACAGAAAGTACTCGGAGCAAATGCGGACAGTGAGTGCTCCAGAAACGGTGAGAAACGCACATCGATGTGAGTTGCTAAGCAAAGCCGAGCTCTGTCTTTGTTTCCTCTGCTGCCAAGCCTGCTGTCTCCGGGCCTCGGGGGCTCAGACGGTGGAGGAGGAGGGAGTGGAGGAGGAGGAGGCAGCTCAGGACACGCCTGCTCCCACACCCGCCTCCCTGTCCTGCGGCCGCCGGTGGGGGAGCAGCAGGCCAGCGCCACACCTGTCGGCGGAAAGTCGGGGAGAGGCCTGGAGGCAGCAGACCAATATTTCGGTCTCTCTCCCTTTCTCTCGCTCTAAAAACAAAGCGGTAAACCTGTCCCCTGTTGAGGATTAAAACAGGACAAAAATTTAGTAAACGGTGCATGTTTATTTTATAGTCAAAGTTCGTTCATGTTTTTAAAATCGTCACCTAAGGATGTTTATTGAGTTTTAGAGAGAGAAGAAGGGAGGGAGAGAGAGACAGATCGATGTGAGACAGAAACACCAACCGGTTGCTCCCCATACTCGCCTTGACCAGAGACTGGGGATTGAACCCGCAGCCACGGTGGGAGACACGGACACTCTGGGCGGGGCTGCAGGCAACAGGAGGCCGCGCAGGGAGGAGGCAGAGCCAGCGGGGGCGGGCGGGCGGGCGGGGACGGCCTTTGGTTGTCGCAGGGCAGGAAGGCCCGTTCGGGGGTGGCGCCCCCTCGCAGGCATCTGTGCGGACTCACTCTGTCTTGGCGCTGCTTTGGGCGTGAGCATCGGGCTGCCGGGTCTCCGACCCAGGGGCGAGGAGACAGATTGGTAGGGTGATGGGCCAGTGAGCCAGGGGACGTGGGACGGGCAAAGTGAGACAGACAGCTGA